TTATATTTTGGGGTGATCTAATCCCAGCTTTTTAAAAGAAACACTTGTCCTAAAACAGGTATAAATTACGCTGTTATGTTCCAAAGAAGGACGTGGACTGTCTTTAAAATATAAAACGCTTTCCCTCTACAACTCTAAAGATGGAGGCCCCGAAACGAAGCGAGAAAAAAAAAGTTTTACCAAAACATGATTGAGCTGAAAATAGAAAGACAATCGATTAAAGATGGCGCGAAATAGAATATTCGCGGATGTGGGAAAGAGAAGGAAGAGAAAGTGACTATGCGGTGCCAAGCTTTGATTGGGCGACGCGAACTAAATAGTCAAGATTAGTCACGCACTAACGTGATCTATGCGCCAAGCAGGTTGAGCCATGGCTAAGTATGGGATGTAACTAAACATTGAATGGAAAAAGTGTGGGGACAGGTCACTACAACATCTTTTCAGTTCTGCTTATTAGCAGCTATTTTTATTTGAGTCAAAAGTAATTATCATGAATCATTAATTTATTTAACCAAGCCAAAGTAGGAACAGTTTTCAAATTCTTCGCTTCTTATATTTCATTTCAAAATTGGCTTTCTAGTTAAACAGCTGTAAAACATGATATCAAATTTTTAATTGGCAAACCACTCTAGGTTGTTGCATACGTTTTGTCGTTTGCTAGCACTGAACCAAGAAAATCTAAATTGTCTTCATATGTTCCACTGATTACAGTAAGTTCTAATGTAGGATTACGATTATCCTGATGGATAGGTCTAGGATAAGTATTACGATGCCCAAGGAATTCTTTCCATAAATCCGGTGAGCTATTTACGAGCCAAAGTCGTGTTGTATCTGTCATCTGGGGCTTTAATAACTTCGCGTTGTGTCTAGACCTATTATTATTATTCTTGCCTCCATATTGTCTATACTCGCGCGTGTTACTACCCGATGGGCCACTATTCGTAACTTTTGGGAGAAACTGAAAGCATATTAACAACACTTATCTATTTCAAGTTAATATTCTCCATTTGAAAATTATTTAAGCCAAATGCAAGTTATACGCTTTCTCACATTTCTTGTCACATATTGGTCGTTTATTTATCCTTCATTTGCTTTGTTAGAGCTTTTCTCTATAACTTCTTTTAATCAGACCAAACTTTCTCCTGAAACAAAGTTTTGCTGTTCCTCTGTGATGCGACTTCGAGACTCAGACACCTGCTGCGCAACTTGTCATACACAAGAGGGGACGGTGGCCTTTACAACTCCTCAATGGCAAAAACCGCTTAGACGTCATCCTCATTCGCATCATTATCAGCGTCATACTAATTCTTCTCAGCATCGGCCTCATCATCGCTATTTGCAGCAGCAACAGCAACTAGTTAATGCATTCCTTCTTATGTTTGGCACTCGACCTTGGCTGGGAATCGAGCATCGCCTGCCCCCCAAGCGTCCTCGCTTCGCTTTCACTGAAAAGGCCATAAAAATACTTAACTAACTTCCTTATATTTCCGTCTTTGTTCTGCTAGGAAGTCTTGAGTTGCATTGTTGGTAAAGCAATAAATATTCAACTTCGAGTCTATCTATGATGCTCACTATCTTGACGTTTGGTCTTTCTTCAAAAGGGCCGTTATCTCGGCTTATCAAACTTTCAATATTGATGAGCTACAGAATCAAGGTTGTTGGGCACTTCTGAGTCAGATTATCTATCTTTTTCATCCGCAGACTTCCAACGGATAAGCTTGGATGCACCGGTAAATCGACCTAGCCGAAGCAAAACAATTGCATTAACTCCTTAATTGGTGGGCTCCTGTTTAACTGGTATTCAAAAGGGAATAATGTACCGAGCCTTTGCTCGGGCTTTTCGATTCCCTTATTTGCTGTGACTGCTCTTGCTCGCATTTAGTTTATCTCGAAGGCGCTAATCATCAGCTTGCTTTCTTTTGGCTCTAAATGATTGGATTTTAGGCCCTTTGCCGTTCGCCGATTTCCCTTATCTATCTTTTGTACAGCTCTCATATCTATCTCTTTTCCGCCAACCTACTTGAACTATTCTGAGTTTTCGACGCTACTCATCATTTCGACTTCTGCTAAAACTTTACGCGTTACTTTGATTTCTTCTTTTCTAGGCGCTGAAGAGCCATGGCTACCTTAATCTCATTAAATGACTGCACCATTTCAGTTTCTTCCATTGTTGCTTTTTGTACAGTCCTACCCACATTGTGTTGCACAATTGATGCTGCCTCAAGCCAACTTCTCTTTCTCCAAATTATTTTATCCTCTTGCATATTTTTCAGTCCTTGTGGTAAGTCATGCTGGCTGCTTTTCACTCCTTCAGACGTGCTCAAATTTTCAACTTTATCTTTAGCTTCAAACGTTAATCTCCTGTTTAGTTGGCACTTTTTTCTTAAAGCATATCTACGGTGATTTGCTGGAATCATGGGGTTCACAACTTATTTTTGCTCCAGCCCTATCGCTCCCTCCAGCTGTCCTCATCCTTATATTTACTCCTTATTTGTCGCCATTTCTCCTTGGCGAATTCATAATACTGTATCCGCTTTGGCTAGCACAATCCTCGATATAACTCGTGCTTTCTCTTTTCCTATCTGCCAATCGTTTTTCTATACTAATATGAAATCAGCCAGTCTTGTTCAGCATGTCGTTATTACTATTTTCACTTTCGTAAAATATACAAGTATTGACGTTTATCCAGTTATCTATTGTTCTCAGACATTGAGCTAAGTTTGTCCATTGTTACTTTATAGACGGGTTAAATGATTAGTTGCATATAGCTCTGTGTAATTTTTCACTCTTATACGCGTTTCTGTATCTTCATGTAAAAATCGTTCGGTATCATACGGAATTCAAATGAGTGGTTTAATAAAATTAGGTCGAAACTTCGGTCCACTAAACTAGACAATATACTTAATCAAAATTACTTTATCTGTGTAATTAAGCTTTTATGATTGTTTGAAAAATGCATATGGATTCGAAGTCACGGTCGCAGTATTCTACATAGCTTATGTCACCCATATTAGTCAAGGCTCTGTCCCTTTCAATCTTTTTCATCACTATCCAGCACAGTTCTCTAGTGGTAATAAGCCTTTACCTAAATCTTACCTTATGGAGTATGAAGCTATTCGTTTA